CTCTTTTCCAGTAAAAAGGGTCTCCGGTTCTCTACACTCACCATACGAAACACGGCAGCGTTAAGCTGCTTTTTTACGCCGGTATTCTGTGAGAGCGTGGTCCTTCCCAGGTCGAGCCGACCCATTCGTGCTACAACTATACTACTAATATAGCTGAAGCATGGCTCTACCACGCCTGAAACTTATAGCGAAAAAAGAATTAAGTAATAATTTAACTACAGAAGTAATACCTAAGTACTCTATTACAATACTTAGTTGAAATTTACCTCACTATCCAAGTATCTACTTACATACCTTTACTTGTCTTTTGTAATTAAAATAATATAAAATACTGAAGTTAAAACTTTGTTTACAAGATTTTTAACATAGTAGAATACGATCACATTTCTGTTAGGAATCGAGTTTCGGGTTTATTTGTTGTTTACACTATCTACATAACTATTTCTTACGGGCCAAGCATCGCGATTCCCGACGAATGGCCTTGCAAGTTGCATACGTTGGGTATCAAAGAACTCCCATAGTAGCGGAAATATGGTCGATCATATAGTCAGAATAAGTACTTTACCTAAGTAACTTACAATTTCGCAATGTATTTTTTTACTCTTTATTAACAGCCCTTAGTAACCACGGAAAGTCCGTTGTGACGTAGGAAGGAGAAAAGACGCAAAGTAATACGGACACTCGCGCGCAGCGATAGTTTTATTGAGCTTGCGTGCGCGATTTATCTGATTAATAATAACTATGTGGGCTATTAATACATCGGCAAGTAGTAAATATCAAAGGAGTGCAACTTCTGTACGTAGTACCTACTATTATTTATTCTATGCCTATAGGATCATGATGTTTTCTTACAGCACAGAGTGATTGACATGCAACACTTATATTACAACTAGCTGGTCAGTCAGACGTTGTTCTGCCCTTTTTGACGACCCTTCATATAAAAAATCCTTAAATTCGTAATAAAAAATATTCAGTGTCACTTATCGGGATAAAAACTATCCTATCTTTCAAGTTGGACCGAACTGCACACTGTGTGCAAAATTTCATTGAAATCAGTTCAGTAGTTTAGGAGTTCGTCGCGGACGAACAACGTGACACGTAATTTTTATATTTTATATATAAAGATAAAGATTATAAAATCGGGTATCGAATTAAGGTGCACCTTACAAGTTTATTAAACGACAAAAAGGTGTATTTTACGCATTTAAATACTACTTATTAATGTACATTCGTCATGCGTATAGCAAAGGAATGAAATTAGTTGCCAGCACCTGTCTTTTCATCCGAATACAATGTGGGCGTCTTCAAAGCAAGTGTGAATAGGCTTTTTTTAAGTCAGTGCGCTTTAATATCTTCGACTGCATCACCATTTACCATCAGATGGGATGGTACCTCAAGCACTGTTCTAGAATTTAAAAAAATCCAACCGTGTAACCAAACATTTGCTCGAACATCTGAAAATTCGTTTTAACTACAAACCGGGCCTTCACTCGTTGAGAACCAATCCCATATAGTGATAAGTACGGCAAACATCGAACCGATTGTAAATTATTTTGCTGTGCACGGGATCGCTCGTCACGGCTCGTCTTACATCGGAACATTGTCGGTTTTTCTGTAGAAATCAAAGGCGCTCGCCTGCACTAGGCAATTCGCGTCCACATGTTAGTTGGTCATGTCAGTATGTTCACTCATTCAAACTTGGCCAACATGTAGACTGTAGCTAGGATTACCAACTCTCAAAAGGACCAACCCGGGAGAATTTTACACAGTCTCTAGCACTCGCCTTGTATCAATTTGCCTACGATCGCGTTGGCTGAGGCTTGGCCCCAACATGCATTGCCTGGTTACATTAATAAAAACAACTTGGTGAAAATGAAATTAGTTGACGCTACTTGCTAACTGGAAGACATGTTACCAACCAATAACTGCTACAAACTGACCAGCTTCGTCAAACTCCTGACCTACAAGTAAAAGTATGAATATTCTAATTTTTAATTGCGCGTTTCATTGCAAATTGGATCTGCGTCGAGAACTTTTGCACAATGATTTTTGCAGATTACAAATGTCGCCTAAAATCGGACGAATAATTTGATAAACTTTAAATGCTATTTATGCATAAAGGACCTTTGGCGGCAACCGTGTACCACCGCTGGTATAACAAATTTCAGCACATATTGCAGATTGGATTGGGAAAGAAAGAATTCACGAGATTTCTTCGCGCGAATTGATGATTACTACATTCGAAGTAAGCTCGTTTCGGGTTGTATTACATAATTATTGATGATGAATTTTGGTTTTATCAATGCGATCTAAAAACTAAGCATCAGTCGATGGTTTGGCTGTTTCAAAATGAGCCATAGCCATAATGAAACACAGCAGCATTAAGCTGCAATTTTACGCTAGTATTTTGTGAGAGCGTGGTCCTGCCACGGCTCGACCAGGCAATTTTAGCTGCAACGTGGCTCTACCACGTATAAAATTCCGAAGTAAGTACTTTGATCGTTAAATCACGTGTGTACATGCGTAAGTTATAGATCGATAATTCATGGTAGTGGCGACAAGGCGTCTAGTAAACCGTGAAGAAAACTGGTCTCTACAATCAACATACGACGAAGCACAGAAGCATTAAGCCGCAATTTTATGCTGGTATTCTGTGAGAGTCCTACCACGGTCGAGCTAACCCCTTCGTGCTACAACCATAATATAGCTGCAGCACAGCTCTACCACGTAAAAGTTTAGGTATTTGGTGTTGATTTCTTTACCGGATCGAAGTAGCATCAATGCCGAATGGTATACTACCAAACGCTTCCCAGAAGTGTTCACTGTTGTAAGCTATAAACAACCGAATATGTGCCCCCGTGGGCTTTGACAGCTGAAGAGAAGCTTGGGCTACTGTTGCTTATAGTTTCACCCTACTTACAATCCTGGTTTGGTATAGTACAACTTCTTTTTATTCTCTAAAATAAAAAGTCAGCTGAAAGGAATACATATTTTTCGGGAACACGTCGTCGAGTGTCGGAATAAACTTGTGTCTGGAGTCGAGTCTTTGTTGAACAATGCCTAGGATTGGAGGCAACTAAATCTATTCCAGTTCAATCTCCAGAAGGAACAAGTTTACGCGTTTAGGATAAAAAAAAACCCCGTTTGTCGTATCTCCTCAATTTCAGGGCACTCCCCTCGTTGCCTCGGCTAGCATCGGAATGCTCGGCGTCGACATATATAGTGACGGTTAGTTCCGCGGACACTTGGAAGGAAAGGCCAAATTGGGCACTAAAAAGCTTGGGTGTGCTTTGTAGAGCGGGACAGTAATTTATGCCGGTACACCGCTTGTAACTTTACAAGGCGTAAATTCGGCCTCATATGGAATACTGCTCACATATCTGCCAGCTGTTTCCAATTGATCGCATCCAGCATAGAGTGAGACTATTTTCAGCTGCTATGTTTCACCATCGCACATTGCGACAAAACTCGCGATACCATCCATACCAACTGGATGCTTGGCGATCCACAACTTTGTGATTAACTACAAGTTTTCTTTCCCGCACAACATCCTTGTGGAATCGACTGTCGCCAGTGATTTTTCCGGACTAATACGACTTAGGGACCCATTAAGAAAGAAGCCTACTCTTTTTTAAAAGGCTGGCAACACAACTGCAATTCCCCTGGTGTTGCAGTTGTTCATGGGTAGCAGTAGTCATTTACCATCAGTCACTAGTCACTTATAATCTCTTCTATAAAAAAAAGGTTTCATTGCTGGAAGAATCTACAGACAGACAAGAAACTGACAATACAGCAATTTAAAAAAAATCTTTTTCTATATCAGGTAGAGCCATGCATATAGTTGTAGTGCAAATGGGTCGGTTCAATTAGGGAAGGATCACACTCTCACAGATAACCGGCATAAAATAACAGCTATATACTGTGTTTCATATGCTAAGTGCATGACAACAAAGCTGCATTTTGATTCTTAATCAAAGATAGATGTAGATGTTAATGGGTCATACCATATATTACCATCAGATGGTCTGTGTGCTAATTTATCACCTTATTCATTTATCACCATATAAAATAAAATAAATCTTTATGGGCATGTAAAAGTTGACAGTTGAACATGATGCTATTGTGAAAAGATTTTTCATAAAAACTATAACTTAAACTTTTTTTATATCATAAGGCACAAACAAGCATGCGGCTCACCTGATGGTAAGTGATTACCGCCGCTCATGAACAACCGCAACACCAGGGAAATTGCAGATGCATTGCCGGCTTTTTAGAAAGGTGTAAGCTCTTTTGTTGAAGGTCACTAAGTCAGGTAAGAAAAATATGTGAATTTTAAGTATGTAGTATTATTCTATGAGACTATTTTTTATGTTATTTTTGGCAGAGTAATGGCAATTTGGTCTCTCACTTTGTTTAATTTACCGCTAGCTCAAATGAAAGTGAGTAGCAATCTTAAGTACTTCTTAATTTACCGAGGCACACATTGTGGGGAAACCTGCATATCTAAGAAATCATAAAAATATTCTTCTAAAGTCTCACAGCAAGCAGAATGTTAGCCTCTTTCTTCCTTGATCCAAAATCCTTTCTGAAATGAGAGGTCTATACCCAGCAGTTTTACTTTACTTTTATAGTTTAGACTGATTGAACATTGGTAGACTTGTAACAAATATAGCTGAAACTTTGAACAGTCATCATCCATATCAATCACAATTTTTTCCTAGTTTGGCAATCACTAATGTATTCTACCAGTTGTAAGTGCCTATTTCATGAAATATAGGTCATGTTACCACAGCAAAACTTTGCTACAAGATTATATATCTGGAAATATTACTTACTATTCCTAAAATAATAAGAAAAATCTATTCATTATTTAAACCTAAATCAGAGATTTAATCATTAAAAACTACGCGATATCAAAATATAAAAGATACTTAACCTTTGTTTAGCACTTAAACTAGTTTTAATTCGATCTTATTATCTAATAAATGTTTTTCACTTACAGCAAAAATTGTGTTTTGTAGCCCAAATGGTATTGGAGTCAGTCTCGCAAAGAACACAATTTTAAACGCCTGAGGTCCAGAAATAACTTTGAGCAATGCTCTTGCAGTCTCATTCTTAAGGAGCCTATCCAAGGGAAGGTACCCTCGGAGCAACTTAAGGGTAAAGTGAGCAACTGCCACTCCAAAGTTTGCACTCACCACCACCGTTCCCAATCCTTTCAGTATCCCAAATAAATATCCACTTGTTATTATTAACACTAGGTACCCAATGGTCACCGGAAAACTCACTATCAAAAACAAACCCATGAATAGTAAAAATATTATCTTTGGGTCTTGCAAATTTACCCAATATAAAATAGTTTTAAGGTATTCTTTGAAGAAATATAGCACTAACACTAAACAGGTAAGTAATAAAATAGAAATAACAACGTTAATTAAATAGCTATACGTCGTCCTATTATTAATTTTAGACCACAAACTTTTCTTTCTATTGGTTGTTGTATCCGGTTGACATTCTTCAATGTCTACTAGTTCCATGGCGGTTTTAGTTGAAAAGAAAACACAAATCGACTTATTTCACGCTGATAAGCGAAATTTCACATGGTTTAACGTATCTACGCCATGGCCCAGTTTTCAAGACTGTTTATTATTTTTCAACATTGGACATTTCGGTCGTCAATCGTCAAATTGATCAGAGCTGCCAACCACATAGAACTATTTTCTATGGAATTATTCAAAGAGTATATAATCACTACGTACACAGACTACACAAGGTAGGTACTTTATTATTATTTTGTATATTACATGAAACTAGGTACCTACCTAAACCTAGCCCCACTTGAATTACAATAAGGGGGGCCAACTTAAGAATGAAATTTGTTTAATTAATTATAAATAATTAAAAGACGAACAAACAATTTTTATGCCTACTTCTTTTTAAAAGGCCGGCAACGCATTTGCGATTCTCCTGGTTCCCCTGGTATTGCCGTTGTTCATGGGCGGCGGTAGTCACTTACCATCAGGTGAGCCGCATGCTTGTTTGCCCCCTCTCCTATAAAAAAATATTCGAACAATAGTGAACAAACTACAAACAATTAATTAAAGATAAATAAAACTTAAAATCAAAAATCCAAGTGGGGCTAGGTTCAGGTACCTTAAGAAACTCTAACTCTGCCAACCTGCCAACTAAATTTTGACTTTTTTGGTAGGGGACGTGTGCGTTTATACTTTCGCCCGTGTTAAATAATGGCAAATTATAATTTTTAATAAACTTCCGCATTATGTTAATGCATCTTTCATAATATTTTTTAAAAAAATTGAAAATTATGACTATAGCTTAAGCAGACTGTCGATGACGACATTATATCCAATTTTAAGGAGCCTAGGCAGATTAAATAACTTGAAGCTTATATCAAAATCGGAGCACTCGTTTCGCTATTTTCACTATGCACGCAAATGCGTATTTTTGTGTTCACGCACAATTTTACTTATCAAAATACACTTTAAACCATGATTTCAACATTAAAGAAACAACAGTCCGCTGATAGTCTAGTCGCGAAACACAGCACGACACTCCATATTACCCGCGACACGTAGATGTCGCCTGCTATGTCGGGCAATGTCCCCCGCGACGTCGCCTGACACGTAGAGTTCATATCGGGTGACAAGGTTGCTTGACAAATGCCCCCTAATGAAAATGGAGCTTTAAGCCTTGTATTTACTGGGGGACAAAGTCGAGAGACCTGTACGAACAGTTGCGGTTCATTTAAATGCGACTATTCGGAGACAATGTCGACGGACATTTCGCTCGTCCACATTTCAAATTGTGGTCGAAATATCACCCGAGGACGTAGTGTTGTTACTTGCAGCTAACATAATTATTCGAAGACGGACTCCAAAATGTTAAAAAAGGTGGTGAATTCAGGAATATTTAAAACAATGTGAAAGGTCATTAGGCTTGGTAAGCAGTCTTCGAATGTGTGACGCCTCATTCGAAAATTTTACAAGAACGTCTACAACCGATTATTATAGGGCTGCGCCATGTGATGCATCAACATATTATGAAGCAGAGCAGTAAAGGATTATCATTTGATAACAATTATATTGGCTTAAAGAACAAGCATCCACGCCAAAAATCTTAGTTATAAAAAGATGGTAGTACACTGTTTGTCAATGTCATTTATGTGTGTGTTCAATGTTCATATTTCCAATGTCCACGACTCTACGTGAGGAAATTAAAGATATAATTTTATGGCATTTCCTATAATTTAATGTAAATTCGTTTTATTAACAAGTTATTTATTATACATATATACTTTTAAACAATTTGGTTGTGGTATCTTGTATTTTTAAATATTGTATTTAGATAGTCGACGTCTCCAGAATCTGCATAACCATGCCGCCGAAGAAAGCACCTGCTGCCGGCAAAAAGACCGAGCAAAAGAAAAAAGAAAAAGTTATCGAGGTATATAATGCATCAACTGATTTAATTTTTGTTGTTATTGTTGCAGCAGCACTGATAGTACGAGGAGACTTCATGGGCTTCTTACATACTCCATTTGATCTTTTCCTAAGTTAGGACACTGGTTTATTAGCTCAGTTCTAATCTTAGATTATTAGTGGATCTACACGATATATTTTTTCCATACGTATTTGCTTAATCTTAATTCATGTTTACCGTTACTGATACAGCCTATTAAAGTCCAGTGCTGAATAGGCCTCCCCATAGATTGATGTATTAGGGGGACATTTGCCATAGTTGCCATGTTTGGCAAGCGTGTAGGCAACTGCAGTTTTTTATTTTTAGTCTTTATTAGAAAGATGCTGCTCCCATCTCTTGATTTGTCAGCTTACTATGCTTATGTTCATTTGTGGCTAAAGTACGGAATTATGTTGTGGGGAAGTAGCGTCGATGTGCAGCAGCGTTTTATTACCCAGAAGAAGTGCATTAGAATACTAGCCCAGATAGATAACACTACTAGCTGTAGACCGTATTTCAAACAATTAAATATTCTTACCTTACCCTGTATGTACATTTATGATCTATGCCTGTTTGTCCACAAAAATAATAATATTTTTAAGAAGATTAAAGATACACATAATATAAATACACGTAACAAAAATAAATTATACCTACCACAGTCGCGAACAAAAATGTAAATAGAAGCCCCTACTATATGGCAATAAAAATATGTAATAAATTACCACAGGAAATAAAAAATATATCAGAATTAACCAAATTTAAATCAAGACTCGGTAAATATTTAAAACAATACCCCTTCTACTCAGTAGAAGAGTATTTAAATATAAAATAACATTATTATATATTTTTATATTTTTTTATAGCTTTTAATTATATTTTATATATGTTAATAGTATATAAGCAGTGCCCTTGTCAAATTTGTAGTGCCTGAAAAGGGCATCTAAGTTGTAAGCACATTTTTAATTTAAGACCAATTATATACACTTGGATTGCAAATAAATGATTTGATTTGATTTGATTATATTTGCTTGATCCTTATTAACATTCTATTGTACAACATTGTAAATTGTTATAAAGTTTATTAATAAGAGTTTATAAAAGTTTATTAATAAGAGTAATTAAGAGAGTAATTAAGAAGAGTTGGTATGATGGGTTTCTTGCTGAAACAGAGGTTTCTTTCCGAATAAGTGGTAAAATTTTAAATTACTTTTAAATTGTTATCAATATTGCATGAACATTATTTTGTTGTATTCTCTTCTATAGAAAATTTAAGGCTTATGGCCAGAATTATAATCTTAAAATGGAACTATATATTATGTTGATCTTTTATTTTTAGTTACCTTGTTTTCCTTTTATTCAATTTGTTAATTAATAATAATTCCTACTTTTTTATTTTAAATATTTATTCTGCATAATAACATTTAATATTTTTGTTGCATAGGATAAAACATTTGGTTTGAAAAATAAGAAAGGTGCTAAACAACAAAAGTTTATTCAGCAAGTTGAAAAGCAAGTAAAAAGTGGTGGTATCCACCCTGCTAAGCCTATGGAAGATAAAAAGAAGGAGAAAGAACAAAAAATGAAAGAACAGAAGGAGCTTGCTATGTTGTTCAAACCTGTTCAAACACAGAAAGTAGAGAAAGGTACCATAATATTTTCAATCTGCGTAATGTTATACAGTTGACCTACAGTAATCCGACAAACGTTTTGCAAGGCGGTGACAAATTATGAAATTTGTCAGATTATAGAGTACTGCCACAGTCCCCTGGAAATCTAAAACTTTTTGAAAAAGAGTACCTTGTAATCTGACAAATTATTTATCAAATATAAAATAATAAAAAAATAAAAATCATGTGATACACAATAAATACCTAAGCATTAAATAATGCATGCCTGCTAGGCCGCTACCATAGTCACATTCATACTATACTAATATACCATACTCAGAGTCAATATGTGTTAAGCAAAATTTGTGGTGGCGCAAACTAGTTGCAATGTGTTTTTCCACATGTTGGCGAAGGATGCCTTCCCTGTGGCGGATTTATAATGCAACTCAAATGTACCTACATGTTAAAGGCATGTTAGATTACAAGGAGGTATGGATTAGACTGAAGGGATTACTGGGGGCCCACTGTATATTTTTATTGAATCCTGGGAATGTTAAATGGCCAAGAAGCTTAGTACGACAACATAAATGTGTGCTAAAAAGGTAAAAGAACTGAAGGCCGTTAGATTTTCTTGGCATTTTCCATAAGTTTACAAATTCTATCCTTCAAAAAAAAACTTCAAATTGCATTCAGACACTAACTCGCCTCTTTTTATAGAACAAGGGTGAAAAACTAGCACATAGTCCACCGGGTGGTAAGTGGATCCTGTGACCCATAGGCCCAGCTATCCTTGATTAAGGATCAAAATACAGATGCATTGTCACTCCTGAAGACAAAGATGGAATGCTTGGTTTCCAGTAAAGTGCCTCATTGCCTTTAATTATGCTGGCTCACTGTACCCTTCAGACTGGCACACAACAGTGCAGGTACCTGGTGGGACGCCAATGCAGGTATTTGGTGGAAGAAATAGAAAGAGTGTGGTACCTGCCCAGACAGACTCCTGTGCAGAAAAAGAGTTATATAGCACTTAGTAAATCTTAATCATTTTCTTAAACTTGATATTATAATTACATATTTTAAATCATTACAATCTAAAAGTAAATTCAATCATCCTATAACAAAGCACATTATTCCTCACAGTAGTGAAAAGAGTGAAGAGGTTGACAGTTTTTATATCTTTAAATTCTCTTGTGTCACATCTCTTGGACATTTAATTTACAGGTTATTTGTTAATTTACAGGTACTGATCCTAAATCAGTTGTTTGTGCATTCTTCAAGCAAGGTCAATGTTTTAAAGGTGATAGATGTAAATTTTCACATGACTTGACCATAGAAAGAAAGGTAAATAAAACTCCTGTTTTTTCACAATGAATTGAAAGTTCTATTAGTATTTGAAATTGGGAAAAATTAGTTATCCATGGTTGTTTTGATGTCAATGGCACCAACTATTCTGTACCAGAGATGATTTATGGTTGTAAATTGAAAAAATTGCATGATTATTGTCTAGTGGCAGTGTAAGAATATCCACTGCCCCATATTTTCCAGTGGCTGTTGTAAAAGGCGATAGAGGACAACATATAAAAAAAAGGATCAGGGGCAAACGAGCATGCGGCTCACCTGATGGTAAATGACTACCGCTGCCCATGAAAAATTGCAACACCAGGGGAATTGCAGATGCGTTGCTGGCCTTTTAAAAAAGATTAGGCTCTTTTTTTGAGGGTCTCAAGGTCGTATTGGTCTGGAAAAATCGCTGGTGGTAATCGATTCCACAAGGAAGTTGTCCGAAGAAGAAAACTTCTTCTAAATCGCACAGTGGTGGACCGCCAATCATCCAGATGGTATGGATAGTATCGCGAGTTTTGTCGCGATGTGCGATGGTGAAATGGAGCGGCTGGAATTAGTCCGAACAATTCTTCAAAGCACTCTCCGTGATAGATGCGATAAAATACGCAAAGAGATGCAACATCTCTATGCAGTGCCAGTGAGTCAAGCCGATCGGAAAGATTTCGGTCGTCGACGATTCGAACCGCTTTGCGCTGGATGTGATGAAATGGAAGCAGCTGGCACTGGGGAACCCCTGCCAAGAGATGAGAACAGTATTCCATGTGAGGCCGAACCAGCGCCTTGTAAAGTTAAAAAAACTTCCTAATAACAACTAAAATATTTTAAAAAGCTGTTGCAGCCAACCCGCCCGCTATGTTTGCCAGACTATGAAAAAATTCCCCTTATGAGGGAGACCTATGTTCAATAATAAATTTTGATAGGCTGTAATGATGATAATGATAAATTGAAAGTCTGCAATGTCCAATCCAAGTGTTGCGATTAAGGCAAATCCAAATATTTATATGTGGTAGAGCCTTGCTACAGATATAATTCTAACAGTGGTAGAGCCACGCGGCAGTGCAGGGCAGTGTCGCACGGATGGACCGGCTCGAACCGGGGTGGTACCACGACCTCACAGAAAACCAGCGTGAAGTTGAGTGCAGGTGGCGGGAGGCCCTTTTTACTGGAAATGAGGCATGGGTGACAACACATCTACATTTTGGTTTGTAATAGAGGATAGATGTAAATGTCTATGGGCCGCAGCAACCACTTACCATCAGGTGGACTGTGTGCTCGTTTGTCTCCCTTATCCTATAAAAAAAAATAGTAGTATATTTATTTTTATATGTGGTAGAGCCATGCTGCAGCTATATTAGTAGTATAGTTGTAGCACGAATGAGTCGGCACGACCGGGGAAGGACCACGCTCTCACAGAATACCAGCTAAAAATAGCAGCTTAACGCTGCTATTTTGTGTGAGTGTGGAGAGCTGGAGACCCGTTTTACTGGAAGCAAGGCATTCCATCTTAATCCTCACAGGTGACAATGATGATTCGTAGTCAAGAATGGATTTAGATACCTGTGGGCCACAGCAACTACTTGTGATTGTGCTTGTTTGTCACCCTCATCCTATAAAAAAATTCTCCCTATATTGAGAGGCCAATATCCAGCAGTGGACCTTTATGGCTCATGATGATGAACAAGAACAATAAGTTTGCAATATTTTAGTTAGTTCTCTTAATTTGCTGATTATGTTTATCGAAAGAATGTACTTTCACAGTGCAAATTACAACCAGACCATATAGAATCAGAAATTTATGCACAATTTTGCAAAGGCAATTTTATTTAATTCTTCTTAATTATTTTCAGGCGGAAAAACGTTCTCTTTACGTGGATATGCGTGATGATGATGATAACATGGATAATTGGGATGAGGACAAGCTAAAGGAAGTGGTAGAAAAGAAACACGGAGAAGGGAACAAGCAGAGGCCTAGTACAGATATTGTAAGTATTGTGACAAATTTGATGTATGTTAGGTTTTTATATTTATGAACTATCTCTTCCCCGCGACTTCGTCGGCGTAGAGTTTATTACGATTGGATTTCAAGGATTGCGCAGAACTCTAATTATTTTTCTAAAATAAAAGTAGCCTAAGTTATTCCTTATAAATACAGCTATCTGCCAGTGAAAGTCCCATCAAAATAGATCCAGCCATTTCGGAGATTAGCCGGAATAAACAGACGACAGAGAAAAACTTTAATAATTGTTTTTTTTTGTTGTAAGTAGGGTATATAATAGTTTGGGGAAAAAGTTTCTTTGTATTTTGCATGTAAATGTATGTAGTAGTCTGGGAATTTTGATGTCAAATAATGATAAAGTCAATGCTATTTTTGATAAAGTGGAGCAAGATCGGCATATAAATAGTTACGACATAACCACAAAATTGAGGATTGACCGCAAAACAGTTTTGACCTATTTGAAAAAGTCTGGATATATAAAAAAGCTCGATATTTCGGTACCACATGAGCTCACTGAAAGAAACCATATAGATTGTGTACTCATTTGTGATTCTATATTGAAGCATAATGACACCGAATCATTTTTGAAAATATTGATCACTGGTGATGAAAAGTGTAGAATTTTCTGCTCACCAGATGTCGCTGGTTGACACTGAGGTAAAGTTTTTTTGTTACACAGTGTAATTTAATTGAGAAGTTGTTTTTTAATAAAAATTTATCAGTTTCTAGAGTATTAAATTAATACACAAAACAATGCGTCAGTGGTTTGCTCTTTAATTTTTCACTTTTTTTTAAAATTTTTCTACTTTTATGAATGTCTGTGGTTTGGTTTATTTATTTTTAAACTTATTAATATAAAATTTAGCTAATAGTGCAGAAAGAAACAAAAACCTTTACATTTTCCGAACAAATTTAAAAAAAAAAGAAAATAAAAAAGAAAAAAAAATAAAAATAATTTCTCCGCTATGATATCTGTCAAATATTATACCTCACTTTGTAGTGGCGCCGCCCTGGTGGCAGAAAAAGTCATGTATGCTCTCATTGTCCTATGAGTAAATATAGCTCCCTGAACAATCATAAATCTAGATTAGATAATTTTGCAGAAATTTTTATGCCTGACTCATTGCACAGTCGACTCTCAATAATTTGACATTCGTTAATTTGAATCTCTCGATAATTAGAAATTTTTCCCGGTCCCGTGAAATATACTCAATAAATGGAATAAAATAAACATTAATTGGTCCTCTCAGTCATTTGATGTTGAAGGAATAGTATCTTGCCTGGCAACATACAATCGTTTGAAGTCTGGGCTTCCTTACTCTCGTTAATTTGAAGCGTTTATCATGCACAGACCTGTCATTTGTTTACATACATCTAGAGACCTATCGGTTGTTTACATAAATGATACAGACTTCTTTTCAAAATGAACATTGGTGAATGAAACAAATGCTTAAAATAATTAATCACGAATTTTGATCAACAGCTTGTTTACTTGATTTTTTCTTCCCTCTTGGTTTTCTAAACTCCTGTTATTTTGAACTCTTGGTAATTTGAAATTTTTCCCTGGTTCCTTGAGTTTAAAATTATCGATAGCAGATTGTATAAGGTATTTTAACGAATTTTGTTTTCAAACATTACAGATATGTAAACATTTCTTAGAAGCTGTTGAAAAATCGAAATATGGATGGTTTTGGGAATGTCCCTCTGGAACGAAGTGCATATACAGACATGCTTTGCCTCCAGGCTTCGTTCTCAAGCGTGACAAGAAGAAGTTAGAAGAAAAGAAGAATGAAATCTCTCTTGTTGACCTGATTGAACGAGAACGGGCAGCTTTAGGTTCCAATCAGACAAAAATTACACTGGAAACCTTCCTTGCTTGGAAGAAGAAGAAAATTAAGGACAAGCAGGTTAGTTCACTTTTATTTAGTAATATTAGTACGGATTTTTTATTAATATAGTATTTTTTAATTAATAGTGTTAGTATTGATCTTTCTTATAATAAAAACCGCTTAAATATTAATAAGCATGATTATTTTTTTCCAGGATGCCATGACAAAGGCAGAGGAACAGCGTCGAAGCGACTTCAAGGCCGGTCGTGCTGTTGGATTGTCCGGCCGAGAGATGTTCTCCTTCGACCCGGCTTTGGCCGCAGACGCCGACGAGGTATGGTTGTTTCGACAGATTTCAAACTCTAGAATAATGCATAAATTATAAATTATTTGATGTTTACATACTACTATTACATTATACTATTTTGAAGTTATAAACCTATAAATGTTGTGTACAGGATGGCGATGAAGCTGTTGATTTGGGCACATACGACGAGGAAGAAGGGGATACCACAGAGTACCGGGAGGTTCAGTTTGATCTGATCGGAATGGAGGCCTCAGAGGTGAGTTATATTATCAGTGTTTTAGCCACAAAGAAAAGTTAACCAAGGGCGTGTTTGGGATATGGGTAATGTAGAAAATGGTTATTGTTTTAACTTAACCACAACCAATCGCAATCAGCTAAACTTGGTATGTCCGTCACATTTTGACTTTTAACTGTAACATATATCTTTTTCACTCACTCACTACAGCCTATCACAAGTCCACTTCTGACCATAAGCCTCTCCCATAGATTGCACATGTCCACAATATAAGTAATATAAATTAATATTTGTTTGTTCCTCTTCTATTCATGCTTATATTGTTTACCCGATTGTGATGAAACCTTAACGAGATGTTGTGCGCACACCCGCGAATATTTCGACAAAAAGAGGCATTGCAACACATGCCAAACACAGCCACACACAGTATGTAATAAAAACCGTTTGGTAACAGTTTCATTAGTTATTATTTGAACTTCCCATTTGGGAGTTGCAATGGTCTACTTTCTTAAGTTTAGAAAAATACTTTATTTAGAAATAAAGCTAATTTTACGCGTTTAATTTGACTTATTTTTAACCCCCTACGAAAATAGAGGGGTGTTATATGTTTGTATTGTGTATCTGGGTATAGTGTGTCTGTCTGTGTGTCATATGACTTCTGAATGGATGAACCGATTTTGGTTAAGTTTTTTTTTGTTTGAAAGGTGCCTTAATCGGGACTATTATTAGCTATGTTGCAAGAAAATCTCTTCAGCCGTTTGAAGATCATCAGCTCTTTGTTTCGGGGGTTTTGATTTTTTTTTAATTTTAGTTATCAGTTGTAATTACCGACGTTTCTGTTGCTTTATCACGGGGGGAGGAGGAGTTGAGATGTTTGAGGTCCTGATGTCATAGTTAACCCGGGTTAACGTCCAGAATTGAAAATAAGTAGAATTGAATGCAATTAATGACTTCTTATATTTCACGAATACTTGACATAAGACTCTCGATAAACAAACACACACACACACACACACACACACACACTCGCGCCTGTCGCCCAGAGGGCTAGGCAGAGATTACGGACTTCTATTTGGCGCGATCCTGACACCTCTCTCGCCTCCTTTACATCCATATATATATATAGCCATATATATACCGGGTGGTGCTAAACGAGCGACAAAGCCGATAGGATAGACTCGGCTCCTCGTCGTATGGTGGCGGCGTAAAATCTACCACCCCTTAGTTCGCACCATGAGCCAACTCTCGATAAATGCCGTTAAATTACTTTTATTCAATAAACGCAATTAAATCAGTAAAGATGATAATAATAATAATTTTATTTGCGTAAAACATGGTATAGATTTTGTTCAGATGTAAAAATCGAGCGCTCATGTTTTGCTTATTTTACATAGTACAACAATGTCAAATTTTCTTTAACCTATTTGAAATACATTAGTCACCTGATTTAGTTAACACATAGAGAAATAATATTATAATAATAATGATTAATTAAATATCTGCCATGTTAAGGATTTCTTTTATCATATTTTTAAGTGCATGTGTGAAACAGAATCTGTATGTTGTGAGTGTACGTATATGCGTGTATTCTGTACGTACGTAAATTTTTGGTCTTGCATATCACGAGAATAATATTTATTCCAAACTCGATCTTCAAGTCGCCAAATGGAAATGTGTGAACAGAACAAATCATCTTAACATCAATTTTTATTTAACTAATATATTTGCAGGCGGATGATTCAGGAACAAAAGCCACAGAAGACAGATTGCAGCAGCTTAGTAAGGGATTGCAGAATGGAGAGGAGGACTCCAAACGTGATGCTGCTGAAGCAGATTCCACAGAAGATAGTGCAACGGCAGTGCCAATTAATGAAAACCTTTTCCTTGATGAGGACTTGGATGAAGAGCTCCAAAACTTGGATTTAGAAGATTAGACCTTTTTCTTATAAGCGAATTGTAAATAATGTAATTGAATGAAAAGATAAAAGAAATAATGTTTGGTTATATTTCTTTGTAGTTTGGATATATTTATACAATACACACTTATCAACTTTATCTAAAATAGTGATCTGAGTTTAGAACATACTAAAAAAGGAAAATTCCAAGAATGACTGATGCGTAACACATATACTACTACTAAAATATAATTTAATAATTTTTTTATTCAATATAGATACAAGTTTTTTACTTTTACCATTGGTACGAAAAAAACCTTTTTTTTAAAGACCTACTTTTTATCATAGTAAATTATACACTACAACTAAAATTTGAAATCACAAGCCTATCAACACTCCACTACAGAACATAGGACACACAAAGTATGGTCCTGAGCCACCCACATCCATAGACTGTCTGCATGTTTCATTAGGTCGTCACTGTTATGGACCAAGTGATTAATGTGCATTATTCATATCGTGCAGACAGCTTAAAAATGCCCAATATAAGTAGGCAATATGATATAGACTATTGAAATAATTAAATTGATCGCACTTTATGAATAAAGTCCGTCCCTTATTGAGCAAAGTATTAACATGTGACAAAACTAAAAATTTTGTACAACCGACTTCATTAAAAATAAAATGAGAACATCATCAATATAGTCGAAGTTAATTAAATAAGCATTATTAAGGATAACTCAAAAAACTATTGGTCAGATCTTGATCAGATATGGGGCTACATGAGAAGTACCAGCTTTAAAATAAAAAAGGAATCATCAAAATCGGTTCACTTAGAAAAAAGTTCTGAGGTGCCTAACACAAAAAATACGGTCGAATTGAGAAGAGAACCTCCTGTTTTTTCAAGGGCGATATCGTAACCATGTGAGCAGATTATTTGCAGAAAATTACGGCTTTAGAAATATGAAGTTTTTATTTAGTCCACTACAGAGCAAAATCATAGGTTTTAATGACGGTTTTTTAGAGAAGACAATTCCTCCAGAGCGTTTTAGGAAAATATGCATCAGTGTTATTTTTCAAGTTGAATACAACCCTTATTAAAAGCTAAAATACTATAAACATCTAGTATAATTATTTTATCAAAATACAGGTGATGTTAAATATCCAAGAAAAAATTTGTTCGTTTTATTTAGTCTATTATTTAAAAAGTATTATAAAACAGCGCGCCCAGATCCGATCAGATGCGTTCATAGATAAATAAATATGTAGCATGGATGCGTTCCGGGTCCTCCCAATGGTAGGACATATCACTTTTCGTGCCACCGCTCGCGTTTGCAAACGAATGGAAGCGTAACCCAGCACCATGAATGATACTTTGATAAATGATAATATTTAATTAATAATTTTATACGTTTATTTAATAGTAAGCAATTTATAATAACAATATTTATCACTATAAAATACATATTTGACGCCTCCATGGCTTAGCACTGAGTTGCAGTGCTGAGGGCCGCGGATTCGAATCCCGCACGGAACAAGTATTTGTATGCCCTACAAATAATTGTTTCTGGTCTGGATGTATGTCCTAGTGAAATTTATGTACTTAGGTATGTTAACTGCCCTCACGATATACTTACGAGAAATTCCTACTGTTGAGGTAAAGTTATTATAAAACAAAAAGTCTCACTCATAAAGGAAAAATAAGCTGTCAACAATCAAAGAGGTTTCATTGCTTAACATTCAACAGAAGACTAAACGGCGACAGTATCTACGAAAGGCTCATGTAAAGCCTTGTAGAACCACCCGTGCTCCTTCTCCTTCCATACGGTCTCCCTGTAGGAAATGCACTGTACTACTGGGTCTTGCCATTGCTCTTTGGCTAAAGATAGAGGAGTAAGCCCTTTATCACATGAAATGACGTCCCTGTAGAATGGATCATCCGATCTCGCCAGAAAGTAATTACGAAGGCTTTACAGTTCGCGATTATGCATGGTGAGAGCGCTCAAAAAGCCGCATCCACCATGTTTACGCGGCAAGTACAGCCTCATTACTAACGATCTCGGGTGATGCATCCTGTGGGACGTCGTAACAGTGCGGGATTTTCTATCCAAAGCGTTCAGTTCAGTCTGAGTCCACCTGAGTATGCCGAAGGTGTACATAAGGACAGGCATGACCTAATCGTTATATTATGCTGGTGTTATATTCACGCCCGACAAAAGACTGTTGCGCACTTTTGTCAAGCGTGCATAAAACGTATCGGTATGTTTCAGCCCTTATGTTGATGGGCATAGATAAGTTCCGGTATATATTACTCTACTCTATGGATAAGTCTATGCCCTAGAGTTAGGAACCCTACCCCTTTTGACATGGACACACTTAACCATCCCCAGCTTTCATTCTAATAGAATTGCTAAAATCATAAGTGATGTTTAGCAATTCCACAAGATGTGAGCAACTGGAGGCTAATTACTTGAGGTCATCCATATACAAAAGGTGGGTAACTTTTGTAACTCCTTTCCGAAGCTGAAATCCTCTCCCGGAACCCTCCAGTAAGGTACTGAGAGGGTATAGAGAGAGGTAGAACCAGATAAGACTCAGACAATCGCCCTGGAAGATAGCCCTTCTTATCCTTATGTGGTTCTCCGCAGCCGTCATCCGTTCGCCTAGACGACAAATGATCGTACTCCACTGCCTCATACACTGCCCGAGGAAGTCTCTAACTGTACAATCAACCTTGTACAGCTCAAGGACCCTCTTCAGCCGTGTATGAGGCACCGAGTCGAATGCCTTTTTGTAGTCTATCTAGAGGAGAGGTTCCGACAACTTGTCAATGACCGCGTCAACGTGGAGTGGTCCCTTGGTTCCACGACCACCGCCCAGACATCAAATTTGAGCGCGCAGCATCACCTGATTTGAGTTCAGGTGACGAGTGATTCTCGTGCTCAAAATTTATGTTAATGTCTTGGATATCGTGGTTAGATACGTAATGGGGCGGTATTTGCTCGGGTCTGTGGTATCCCGGTTTTAAGGAACCAAATGAGTGATCCCAGTTGTGAAGAGGCTCGGGAATGACTTCTAGTCGAGAGTCTCTTGAAACTGTCGGGCGAACACAGCGTGACACACCACGAACCCTTCTTTTCTCCATCACCCATTAAATGAGCGTCAATTAACGGGAGACGCCCAGATCCGACACCGTTTTATGATGCAGCCGTAAGTACAAACGGGCCTTTGCACCCTCAGTTCTGCCGAGGCACAGCGCTCCTCCTCCCTCCTCTTGGCAAGGCGCTGAGCGCTGACTGGCTGTGCTGACGTAGCAGTTTTATCACTTAATTGTGACGTCAGTGGGCGATGGGATCGTCTCTTCCCAACGCCATCTATTTTAAGGTTATTATTAATAATAATAAAGTGTAGCCGTTGCCGAATTTGACGAAAAGGGGTCGTACTCAGCATTTGGCGTGGCGAACCACAGCCACTGTTTTTCAGTTGCCCGTTTCGTCTCTTTCGAATAGTTCGAGCAGTGGTCGTAGCGGAATCGAAACACAATATTTATATTTATTTATATAAATAATAACGGTAAATAAAAAACAAACAATAAGCCAACAATAAACACGAGACTAGACTATACATAAATTGTGTTCTAAATAATTGTTAAGCATAAGATCTAAACAACAATGGAAGGACAGCGATGGAACCAAAATACAATGCTATGGATGACTAAAAAATATTTTTGGATACGTAACAGTGGTGCGATTTTGTGTATATAATGCCTGCGCATTTATTTTTAAATTTTAATGGAAACGATGATAGTGCTTCGATGATGATAAAAATCTCAAGTTTTTTATCCACATAAACTATCCGCTGGGTGAAGCTGTCGTTAAAATCTTCCAAAATTTTCGCAATGTGGCACTCACTAACAGCACATAATGTAAAAATATACGTTAGGCGGCTGTTATGCATAGATCAAAGACATTTAAGTAGTAGTAGTAATAGACCGGACATCAGCAGCAAAATTGTCGTCTGTAACTTATATCCTATAGGATATATCTCCGATTTTTGTCATTTAGTCTTAGTGAAATCGTCTAAAAGTCAAGACCCATTCGTTTCATATATTTAAAAAATAATTTTAAAGAAAATATGCCCGGTTGTGCATTAAGATATTGTAAGTCACGATATTGAGCAAAAAATGAACGTGATTTCGGTTTATTATCGTAAGTATAACATATATTTACCGAATAATCTTTAAATTTTACTATTTCTAGTAGATTGTTCTAGAACATTTATTTTTTATTATCATTATTACAATAAGTGCCCTCTGTTATTCAGTAATTTCACAATTTAGTTATCAATGTTAAAGTTAGTGATTGACGACGTTTATCGATTGGGGTTATCGATAAAAAAATATACAGGATGCCGATTTAATCCTTTACAATATTTAAGGAGGTAAAACAGTCAACGATACTGTACCCATACCAACAAAAATGAGTAGCATATACCAACTATGCTAAGTAGCCTACTTTATGTGGAGCAAGGGTGGGAAATTTTTTAGGCATGCTGATGAGATTTTCTGTGCTGCTTACGAGCATGCTGAGGGTACTTACTGTGTTGATGTTTAGCAATACAGCAAGTCTTCTCTTTTACATACCAGGCTTCAATGTCTGGTGGTTTTACACCGGGCTTCATTGTCTGGTGGTTTTCAAGGACAAAGCCATTATAGATCCTGGGTTACAGTGATAGGAGAGGGCTATAGGTTTGTTACATTAAAAATAATTTGTACTGTTAAAGATATTAGGTGCAAGAAGTTGTAGGTTAAGACATATTGACAAATTGACAATAAATGCTTATGTAGGCTTTTATCTATGTATAAACGTAAAATGTCAAATTAATACGAACTCGTTGCCATATCAATAAAATTTGGGCATTTCTTGTATTGTTCTCCATATTGTTCTTTTAGATTCTTATGTAATACGTGAATTATTTTACATAATTTGTATGTAACTGTACAACAATTACATACCGATTATGTACAAATAACAACTCCA